CAAAATGCAGTTCACAGTGTGTTTCTAATTTGGGAATTTTTAGAGTGGCGGATCTTTTTTTTTTTCCTTTTTTTTTTTTTTTTTTTTTTTTTTTTTTTTTTTTTTTTTTTTTTTTTTTTGTGCGAGGCAGTTCATTGTATTCATTTTATTTATTTATTTTATTGACCTCTCTGATATTGACTGAAAGCAAGTGGAAATTGAGCCCGCAGGAAGTGTGTCACTGGAATAGCGATAGCATCAAGGCCGTACCGTTAAATGAATGAGCGATGTCAGTGGATTTAGAATTGAAGGAAAAAGTATGGATAGCAAAAATTTTTGGTTAATTTTGCTTTATTGGATTTTTCGCCATAAATTTTGTATTTGATAAGAACTGGTGAACTCCAATGAGGCGTTCTTGTCAAAGTTGGAAGTTATGGTTGATTTTAGGTTAGGCCTTTTCTTGACGCATTCATATTTACCGATTATTATTATTATTATTATTTTTACCCGATATGCGTTTTTTCTCTTATTACAATATTTTTTATTTCTCAAGATTTTGCTACTGACAAATTTAAGCTAATTGAAAAGGATGAAAAAGTTTATGCTGAATACTAAAGCTTCATTGGGGCTTGTGGGGGAGAAAACCGTAGATGAGGACTATAATAAACGGAGTGCCTCGTTGAAAGCATTAAATGAGGCTCTCAACGAGTACAGCACGGCCATGGATAAAGCAAAGCATGCCATGAGGGAGGTGATGCATTCCTTGGGAAAGGCCTCCAAGGCGTTTGAAAAGCTCAATAGTGGTAGCTGTATTCCAGAACCACTTAAGGATTTCTCAGAAGATTTTAAGAAGGCTATTGAACACCTTCAACAATATGCCTTGCAGGAGTTTATGAACACAATGGAAACGACTGTCATTAAGACTGGACATGCTATCAGGGCAGATTATGAGGAATGTGTTCGTGTTGATCAGCAAAGGCAGAAGACTGTGAACGAATATGATGTGTACCGAAGTGCTGTGGATAAAAAGGAGACTGAGTATGCAAAAAAGGGAAAGGACTTGAAGGAATCCAAAACGTATGAAGAGGACACCAAGACACGAGATGAATTAAAAGCAGATTACGAGGCTTCCGATAAACTTTTCAAAAGCTCACATGATGCATTGGAGTCGAATGTGGTAAGCAAGGGCAGGCTTTGTATGAGGGAATTTTTCTGCTGCACCTCTGAATTTCTTTCTGCGTTGTCCACCGAAATGAAGCGCCTACATGAAAAATCCTTGCTGCTGGGAGCTTAACTAAGAAGTGAAGTAAAAATCATATTTTAAAAATTTTCAATTAGAGCACCCGCCTCAAATGTTCCACTCCTTTGATTGATTCTATTTCTATTTTGGTTGCCTATAAAAGATATCTATGAGAAGGTTTTCTTTTTGTGTGTGTGTGTGTGTGTCTTTGTTTGAAATCCGGTGGAAGGAATATGTGACCCAATGACGCTAACCGATTGACGACGCGTCACATTTTACTACCCTATTTCTTTATCGATGAGTTGATTTTGATTACTAGACGATGGGCGGGAAATCAGAAAAAGAAGGAAGGAACTGCACCAGTTACCCTCCAAAGCGGTATCATTGAAAAAAGTAGAAATAAATATTCACGAGGAAGTGTTTGGCGGCTGTGGACGCCAAAAACCTCCACATTTTGCGTTTACAAGGAGCCGAGGTATCACAAAAAGCGCTTTTACAATTATTTATTTTTGTTGAAATATTACGCGTAGATAAATCTTTCTCTGAATTAGAGGATGTGGGGCGCATTCAATCAGGCCGTGATCTTTTTTTTTTTCTGCCCAGTTTTTTTCTAGGGATTGGGGAAACAATCTTGGCCGGGCGCATATTTTAAACCCTTTGTTTGATGCTAATTTCTAATTATTTATTAGGTTTATTTATTTTTAATACTTTTACCGTCCCAATACATGGGTTGCCTTTCGGTTCCCTGGTTTTGGACGATGCGTCATAGCGCGCTCAAGAGAAGAAAACTATTCCCATTTGAGGAAATGAAAAATAAAAACCGGCGAAGTCACCATTACACATGGTGGTCGAATTTTATTCATTTTTTTTTTTCCTGCTTTTCCCCTTGGCGTTCCAAAAGAAATGTGCTGTGTGTTTCTTTTCTTACCAATTGAAAGGTCTTTTTAGGAGGAATTGGAATGCCCATGTCGAGAGACCCTTTTGACGAGTCTGTCAGCGATGTAAGTGAGCTTGTTGCAAAGGCGAAAAGCGTACAAGAGTCGTTTAGGGCGAAGGGAATAGTTGACCGCGTTCTCATTGAGGAAGTGAGACGCACGTTGGATGCAGCAGATGAAGAATTGGAGCTCCTCAAAAATGTCTTGCAGGTCATTGAGCAGCGCAACGGTAGGGTTGGTGACCAGGTTTTCTCAGTGAATGAGGTGCTTCGTCGTCAGGGAGTAGTTCGCAATCTCGAGACTGAGCTAAAAGGTCTCCGCACTTTTAGCGACGCTGTGGAGGTCCGTGTGGTCGAAGCCGAGAAGCGTCTTATTATGAATTCTAATGAAATCCAGGTTAATGACTCTTTTCTCTTGGGGCAAGAACAGATTCAGAGAAAGGAGCACATGGAGCAGGATATTATTCTAGATAGGCTTTCCCACGGCCTTCAAGAGTTGAAGGAAACGGGGGTGAACGTCAATGATGAGCTCCAACAACAGGAAATTCTGTTGGTGGAGGCTCAGCAAGATATGGAGGGAGTACAAGCGCGTCTGCGTGTGCTCAACACAAAGATAGACAAACTACTTTCCAGTATGTCTAATCGGAAGAAAATCTGTACGATTCTGATTCTACTCGTCACGCTAGTGTTTCTTGCCTCTATTGTGTTTGGATGAGACCTTTTTTCTTTTTTTTCTTTGTGTTTGTGTTCGACCTTTTTGTTTTTTGCTTTAATTCTTTTTTCCGCCTGTCGTTGTTGTTTTGGGATGCTTCAGCGCATTTATTTGTTCGTGCCTGCGCTGATTTCTGTCTTGTTGCAATGGAGAGCCTATCCGCCTCTTTGTGGATTTGATGTTGGCTCTTGTTCCTCTTAATTGCCTTTATCTTTTTTGGGAGGAGGACGAAGGGATTATTTGGGGGGGGTTGGAAGAGACGGAAGGTGCAGAAGGGACGAACATGGAGGATGCTGTGACGCTTTCGGCGACGCTTAGACGCGCCTCTCCCCTGACACGGCGTCGAGCGCTGGTTATTCTTTTTGCCCTCCGGGGTGTGGCAAAGAAGAGTGACATGACACTCTCGCTGACGTCCATCACCACTGCTCTTGAGTTCTCGATGGCAGGGAGGCCAGCAAGATTTTTGTTTGCCACGGGAGGTCACGCGTCTGTTCTCCGTAGTCACGACCGAGGTGGCACGTGGCGGATTGCATACAGAGTAAAAGGGACGAGCAATGACCATATGGAAGAAGGAGTCCCACCCTCCGATAAGATGGTCACCATGGAAGACATCGCAAAGTTCTTACCATCATCTGAATCCGCAAAGGGACAGAAGTGGTATTTAGCCAGTGAGTGCTCCGCAACGGAGCTGAAGACGCAAATATCGCACGTCACGGCATTGGACAGTATGCTTGCTGTGTGTGGCAGTCGTGCATTTCTGGCGGTTTCCGTTGATAGGGGAATGAGCTTTTTCTGTGTGAAAGAGGAGGATATTCATTCTTTCATAAAAGATGAACCAAGTGCATCCTGTGAGTCGTGGCAGATTGATGGAGTGGCTTTTTTGTCAGATCAATTGCTTATGTTTTTTTCCAAGAACAGTTTGTTTTCAATTGAGCTCATTCACCATCATCATAAGCAGCAGCAGCAGCAGTTTGGTGTTGTCGCTTTTGGTCGAGTCCGCCTAGTAAAAAAGTTTGCGGTCCCCGTTGGGTGCCTGAAAACATTTTCTCAAAGTGGCAAATTCATGTGCGAATTGTTTGTGTCGACAAAGGGGCTTTTACACTATTCATCAGATGGGGGACAGTCTTTTCTCACCTTTCCGCATAAAATTGGTATCATCCGTGCTATTGAGCCACTGGACATTGTACTTCGGCGTCGTGAAGTGCCTCAGCTTCCGAACTTGTTGTTAACTCACATGCAGTCCGCAGCAACAGAGGAGACAAAGAGCATTAAAACAGGAAAATACATTTATAGGGCCATTTCCCGTCGTGATTCTGTGGAAGAGAAAGACGATGGTAAACAGAACGTGGTGGATTCTGGTAACTGGGTGACGACGGGTGCTTTTCCTTACTGCTCGGAAAATGTGCATTATCGGGTTTTTTTGGTGGGCGGAATTGGAACATCGATACTGCCGTACGACTACACGGCCCTCTTATTCATTGCAGCGACATTAAACGATTCCAACGGCCGTATTGGACTCCTTGGATCCCTTGCGGAAAGCGTAGACTACATCCCGTATGTACGTTCAGGAGCCGCGGAACCCATCTCCATTGCCCTTTGCCGACGCCCAGGCTCCAAAGGATGCGTGTTCGCACGAAGCAATGCTTCTGGCGTCAGTTTATCAAGCGATATGGGCCGGTCGTGGACAACTCCTACACAGGCGTATACAGTGGCTGTTATTGCTATGGACGGTGGTGAATTTGTGTGCTGCAACCGTCGAAACGTTGTGAGCAATATCCATGGCGACAGCAGGGAAGTTCATTCTATACCAGCTGATCTGCGCGTCCCTTACTTGACCGATGCTGCCGTAATGTTATGATTTCGACCTTTCTCCGTCTTCCCTTTGGCTCTGAAACTAAAAAAAAAAACGAAATCACAATCACTCACATACATACATAGTACAAACAGAAAACGAAAAGGGGAGGGCGGGGAAGAAGAGCGAAGAAGAGATTCTCTTTATGGGTCTTTATTGTTTTCGGAGAGGTGCTACTAGCCAAAAGAGCGGCCTTTGCGGTTTTCCCCCATTCGAACGGAAAGAGGAAAGGAACAAGCTGCCGACGAGGAAATTTGACCTCACCGTCATCTCTCAACGTGATCCACCGGCACCTGTTTTTATTCAAGACAAAAAAAAGAAGAAGGGGCGATATCGTATTGAAGGTGATGACTCAGAAAACTCCCACGTTTCGCGGACCCCGATGTCATCAGTACCTTATTTGAAGCCCACGCAATTTCAATCCTTTGCGGGTCTTTTTGGGAGCGGTACTGCGGCGTTGACCCTGCGGTCGTGTGAAGACTCTAATATGCCTCACCATCTAATTGTTGGTGGGGAGGATGGAAATCTTGTTTTAGTAGACTATGAATTGGGGACAACTACTCGTCGATGGTATGGTGCTCATGGACGTGACGTAAACTCTTTGACGAGGCCACTGAGTAGCGGTGTTTTTGCCTCAGCCAGTCGCGATAAAATAGCAAAAGTTTGGAACCTTCATTCTGGCGAGGCACTCTGTGAACTTCACGGTCACACTGCGAATGTGACAAGTGTCACAATGGGTGCGGAACACAACTTCCTGGTTTCTGGAAGTCGCGATAACACCGTTCGCTTGTGGGATTTGGAGCGAGCTGAGGAAGTGCAATGCTGTGAAATCAAACAAAATATTGTGCAATTTACTCAATGGGTGCCCCAGTTGCACTGTGTGGCACAAGGTGGCGAAGACCTCACCGTGCGATTGTGGGATGTACGTATGAATGCCAATGGTAAAAAGGCATTGGGCTTGAGTTTGGCTACCACGCTTGCTTGCATAGAATATCATCCCATATGCTGTGAGTTAATACCCGGTGAGGAAACATGCGGACTCTTGACGGGGCACAATGGTTTTAATGGGCATGGAGCATATGTTGTTGAGTGGGATTTGCGCATGCCAAAGTGTCTACGCATTTTTCATGGCCACACTGGCACAGTTCGGAGTATACGAACTCTCCCTCGACAGGACCCAGCAAATCATGGGGAGTTTGTAAGCGCAGGCGACGATGGAGCGATGATTTTCTTTTCGATAGGTCCCAGTTCCCACGAAACGGATGTGGCTTACGATCCGAGGAGTATATTCAAACTCAATGAGGGTCGTGTGACTTGTTTGGATGTGTGTGCGAATGGCGATATTTTTTCCTCTATGTGGGATGGGGCCGTGTCGGTGCTGCGTTGCACATCCCCAAAAAAGGGAGTTAAGGGAACCTTTAAACGGTTCAGATGCTTTGGGGCAGAGGAACTGCCAAAGTGAGGTGCGTCGTTCGTCGTGCGTCGTGGCACCTGTCTATTTGAATGACACTATCAAAAAGTGAGCTACAGCAGCAACAAGAAGAATATAAAGCGAGTGAACGCACACACACACACACACAGACACACAGAGAGAGAGAGACAGAAAGAGGGGGAATGAGACAGAGACAAACCAAAAAGTAATAATAATAAAGGGTTGTCATGTCTGGCTCGGGGTGGTTGGGCCCCCTCCCATACTGTCATCTATTTTTTTTTTATTTCGACTATCAAACCCTACCCATTTATTTTTGTGTATGTAATGCATTGATATCTAATTGTATTACATATGTCTGTTTGAATCTGCTTCTCTCGACAAGTGTTTTTTTTTTCTTTTGCGGTGATAAAAGCAGCAGAGGTAAACGAAAAGGAAATGGTAGTTCATGAGATCGCTGCGCAGCCTGCTTCGAAGGTTGCTGATGATGCTCGCTCGCTAGCAGTCAAGGGAGATCGCGTGGAGGCCGTTTACATTGCACACGAAATTCTGGAGGAGAATTTGGCAAAGCTGCCGGTGATGATAGCGGAGACGAGGAGGCCCGCATCCTCTTATTTGGATCCATGGAAAAGCATTTCTGAAACAATGGAGTCTCTTTGCCAGGATGTAGAACTTTGCCTGCAATTATTTAGCATGGGCGCCAACATTCAGCGGTTTAAAGGCTTGCGGACGGTTGCCTCTCTTTACGACCAAAAGAAGCCCGCCGCCGATCGTCTACGGGGGTTCTTCCTCATTGTGAGTTTATCTTTTACAGTCGATGATGCTGTGACACCGATGCCCGCCAGAATACTGCGGAAATTTGCGCAGGCGATTTGCATTTTTGATGCGATCCAGGCCGCCGAGTGGTTGAGTGTTGGAGTTCAAAACATGCTCGATGCAGGACGGCTCTCACAATTGTCTGACTCTTTTCTAGTCTCCAGGAGTCTTATTTGCATTTCGGTGTTTGGAGGGGAAAAAACGGCGCCTGGGTGTGGCAAGGCGAAGGGCACAAAGGCGTCTCTCATGACGGCCATTTTGACTCTCTTGATACGATGCAGAGCGGACGCCGGAGTGACGAGGATGGAGGTGCACGAGAGAGAGCATGAACTTCGTGGATTCCTGGAAGATGACAAATTGAAATCTTTGTTGCATTTTGAAAGCGTCTGTGCCACAGCCATGGCGGAAAAGAAGCAGCGGATTCAAGAGAAGATGGCGAGACGAACCGCCGACAAGCGAGCGACAGCCGCCACCAAAAAGGATGGCGCGGACTCGAAAGAGATGAATGCGGATGCACATGGCGACAACACATCTTACCGACGGTATTTAAATAGCTCTTTGGAGTACTTTTTGGGCTCCGAATGGAGACAGCGCCCTTCTCGAATCGTGCTGGTTGTTGCTGGTGTTATTTTGCTTCTTCTTATGATACGACAAGTGGCCTCCATTGTGGCCCGTGGTTTGAGGAAAATGAAAAGCTTACCGCATGGGGCCAGAAAAACTCTCACTTTATAAAATAAAAAAGGGAGGAAGGGATAGTTTTGCTTTTGTAGCCCTCATATTTTTTTTTGTCTCTGTTTTTAAGGCGATTGTTCCGTCACTGTGGAGGAATGAAGTTAAAAAACAGGCGCTTTTTCTCCACCTGCACGTTCTTTGAGTCGTTGTTGCCTTGTTGTATATAATTAGTTCTGGGTGGTTTTCTAGGACTGCCGGTATTTTTCTTATTTATTTTTTTTTTCTTTCTTTCTTTTATGCATTGTTTTGTTAGAAAAACCTTTTTCAAGTTTTTTTAGAGTTGTTGTGTTTCCCCTTGCCCTAAATCATTTTTATCGTTAGTATTATTATGCTGATGACGATGATTGCTTATATGGAGGGTATGATTGAGGACAGGTACAGGGCTCTTTTAATATTTGTTCTTTTTACGCTTAACAATGGCTTTTCTTGGCTTATGTTTGATCCCGTGGCTGGGTGGCTCGAGGAGAACATGAATGGTGTAACCGTGGGTCAGTTACAAGTTCTTTCTTCTTGGCAGCCTTTGATGTTCCTTATCATGTTTATACCTGTGATGAAAATGGTGACGGGGTCGGATGGACTGCGAAAGGCGGTGCGTCTTGGCGCGTCGTGTGAGATTATTGGTGCGATATTCAAAATAATCGGCTCATTGTCCCGAAAGTCGTATGCGGGTTTGGTTCTTTTACACATCGGTCAAATTTTTAGTGGGGTGGGGTCTCCTGTGGCGACAGGCTGTGTCTCGGCCCTCTCTGCTGCGTGGTTCAATCCCAATGAGAGGACAAGGGCCACTGCTGCCGCTGTTTTGTCGAACAGTGTGGGGAATTCGCTTGCCTACATACTTGTTCCAGCCATGACAGAATCTTCTTCTTTTGTATGTACCACTGTTTATGAATTTGTAATGGCCACCATTGCAACCATTCTTGTGTGGTTTTTGTTCCCTACGCAAAAGGCGTCCGTTGTGTCTGGGGGGATTGTTGAAATATTACCGGTTGAGGGGACTCCCAGCGAAGATAAAAGTCTCCGGAGGCAACTCTTTAATTTGCTCAGTGTACCCTCAGCTGTTTTTCTTCTACTTATATATTCATGGTCTAGTGGAGGATTTTCGGCGTGGGTATCGCTTTTTGACGCAACGTACGACGATTTTTTTACCGAGAGCTTTATTGGATTTATGAGTTTTTCGGGCATGCTGGCGTACGCTGCTGGGGGTTTGGTTTCATCCTGCCTCACCGATCTTTACTTCCGTCGTCAAATGAAGTATGTGATTTTTTTCTGTATTGCGTGTAATTCCGTCAGCAACCTCTTGTTTGTGGCCCTGGCACCAAACAATGACGGATACTCGCTTAATCCAAGCGGAAGAGCATGGATTGTTGTCGTTACGGCACTGTGTGGATTTTGGAATGGAGCCGCTGCCCCGTTGTTTTATGAACTGATCGCAGAAATTTCATATCCGGTAGATGAGGGTGTGAGTGGTGTCGCCGTTTCCTTCTGTGAGAACCTCGGGGCGTTGTTTTTTTACCAGGTTGTATCTCGTTTCTACAGCGGGCAATCCATGAGCGTCGCGTACTCCTTTGGAATGACAGTTGCCGTAGTACTTTCAGCGGCCGTGCGGCAGAGGTACAACAGATCATACCACATTTATTTACAGTCTTCTCAGCAATTAGCTTCCATGAGTGTTGTCTCTGTTGAAACTGCCGAGTAAAAACGCACTTTTATTCTCTTCTCTGTATTTGTCTAGGCGTGTGTGTGTATGTGTGTTTTCTTTTTGGCCCCATTTTAGAGAATGAAGAAGAAATTTGCATGACGCCTTCCCTCCACCTCGGGGTATTTGAATCTTTTCTCTGTTTTGTGCGTTCTTGTTTGTTTGTTTTTTAGGGAGGGGGTGGGGATGCTGTAGATTTTTGCCGTCGTTCGAAGGTTTTGTTGTTGTTGTTGTTTTTGCCTTTTTTGCGTCCTTCTATTTATTAATTTGTTTATTTTTCTTTGCCTTTTTTTGTTGTTGTGTTTTTGTACGTGTCTGTGGTGACGTCTTACGCGTTTGTGCGCCCTGTTTTATCCTGCGTTTTTTTGTTCTTGTTTTTTTTTTCTCCGCCGACTGCGGCTGCCGTCAGTGCGGGGGGAAAGAGGGAGGGGGGGGCTCTGGTTCTTGTTTGTTTCCTCGTTTATTTGTTAACCAGCAGTCAGCCCGTGAGGCGCACGCCCTCATTCACTCATGGCGCTGCGGCGATCTCTGTGCGTGCACTGAGCGGGCACTGACGCGAGCGCATCATTGACGCATGCGCCACGTGAGCAAAGAAGGGCTCGTTTTAGTCCTTACTTCGCGATGGCGTTGGCCTCCTTATTTGACGCGGGCGATGGCCACGACGTCAACCGCGGGGTGCTGTCGCCGCGCGCCATGAGTGAATGAGTGACTCCCAGCCGGTACTTGCGACTCTGACACCAAAAACCAACAGGCACATTGCGGCTTTTTTGGAAGAATGTCGGGAGAGAAGCGGAGCACTGATTTCAGTTCGTGCATTCTTCGGGGGAAGTGCTACCCCGGGTGTTGTTGTTGTTGTTTTTCTCTTTTTTTTTTTTTTGCGCGGACCCTCGCACCTTCAGTCTGGGTGCCTTCCACTTTTGGGGCCAATTGGCGCAACGAGCTGCAGCCCAATCGTGTGGCAACGGTGCAGCACGAGAGAGAAGGAAAAGATGTTGTTTTTGTGGTCACTTCGGGTTTTTGCGGGGTTTGCCCAGTGAGGATGCACCCTTTTTTGTCAGCGTCTACATGCGGTTTTTCTCTTGTACCCGCGTGCATATGAATCGTTTTGTGCATTGTTTATTTTTCTATTTGTGTGAGCGGATGATGGAAATTCGAGAAACGAGAAAGTTAACAGAGAGTCAACTTGTGGGGAGGGTAAGATGGTGCGGCACCGTCTTTTTTTTTTCTTGCTCATGCCCTAAACCTGTCCTTATCTCGGCTTTGTCCCTCTAGCTTCTTCTAAGGATAGAGTGTGTTGCGGTGAGTGCATGAGGGAGTCCACGAGTAGAAATTAGAAAATGGGACGGTTCCTTAGACGTGTAGGGCCGCCTCCTCAACTGTTGGTGTTGTTTCTCTTTTCCACCACGTACTGCATCAATATTCTGAACTGGATTTTCTATATCAGATATCTTAGGGATGAAGTTGAAGAGGATGTGATTGCCGCATATATTGCCTTCTCCGTTATCGGATGTATTCTGTTCTTCTTATTGGCATCTCCTCTTATTTATTGGACTTATGCTCGTGCCAGTGAAATCCCTCAAAAAAATCGGCGGAATGTTTTATGCATTGGCATCGGTCTGTGTTTTTTCTTTCATGAATTTCCTTTGGGATGGATCGAGATCTATTTGGTGTGGTATCATGGATGGAGGAGCATTCTCTCGAGTATATCGTTTTTTATCGTCTGGTTGTGTTTTACCATTGGCTTTTTTAGCACCTGGTTGGGTTATACTTGGTATCTTAGCAAACGACTGCACTTTTACTTTTTACTACACTGCACGTCCAGACTTGATGCCCGTAATGCGATATATGGTGCCATCAGAAGCGTAGATAACTGGATCGCCTTTTAAAAAGGCCAGTGATGAGCAATCATGTGGCCAGGAGAAGCCTTTATTAGAGGAAGCCATAACGGATGGGTTTTGATTCCAACATTTTTGTATATATATATTTTTTTAGTTGTTTTTGTTTTGTATGGTATGGGAAAGGGAAGGGGAAGGGTCTTGTTATAAGGAAATATTTTATTTCTCCCATCGTTGCGCCGCTTATTTTTGCGTGTGAGGCAAATTGGAGAGAAGGAGTCACGCGTGCTGATGTTTTGGATAACATTCATTCCCCTTCCCTCCCTGCGTCAGTTTGGCCCACGTGCGTGACTGCAGAATAGTGGCGGCGTGCCACTGTGTACGCTCCAATCTAATGAAATTCACAAAGCATGCTGGCGTGATTTCATGGAAAAGGGTGATGGTATTGGCTTTCTCTTGGGAGTTTTCCACAGAATGGCGTGCTGCAGGTGTTCATTGATGTGTAACCATATTTATATCTATAAAATACAGATATAAATATATGTTTCTCGTGGAGTTTTTTGAAATATAGAGAAAAGGAATGCACTCTCGTTGCCAGAAGGGCTTGTGGAGTTTATTCTCATTTCTATCTGTGCCACTCCGCGCATGTGTTACGTGATGTACCGGCATTGCTATTTTTAAAAGGGGTCTGCCAGAGTCATCTAATGTCATTGCTGCGTGTCGTGTTATAATTATTATTATTTTGCTGTTTTTTTTTGTTTGTTTTTTTTTTTTGGGGGGGGGGGGGGG